TTCGGCCTGAAGGGCTTAACTGAAGACTACCTCATCCTGCTTTATCCCGTGTCATGGGTGCACAAATCTCATTCCTGGTTCGTCAAATCGGATAATCGTGCAATCGAACCTTCCCTGACGATATGGCTTCCAGGATGGCCCACCTGCCTCCACCCACCTTGCAGACATGCCGGGCTATTGTGAGAAGTCACTTCTGTTCATCTGGAAGAACAAATCTCACAGTTCCTACAGTAGATGACCCTGAAGCAAACCCAGGACTGGATGGGGTGTCAATACTGGAAGGACCCTCCGATTCAACTATCAATGGTGGCACATTCAACGCAGCTGGGAGGGACATCATATTAGAGACAGCGACTACGACCGTCAACAACATCACCATCAATTTCGTCGATACAACTCCCCTCACCGACATCGCAATTCTTTACTGGCTTTCTGCTATCAACTACAGAGCCATTCAGATGGACAACTTCGAAAAGGCTACACCCAATACCTGCTTATGGTTTTTCAAGAGCGAGTTTTTCAGGAAGTGGCTGCTGGGCCAATTGCTCATTTTATGGGGTACAGGCATGCGTGAGTGCCCATTTCCCGCCGCTGAAGCTTGCTCTAATGACAATACAACTAGCTGGGGCTGGAAAGACGGTCCTCGCGTGCGTTCCACCTGTCCATCTCATGATCACTTAACTGAAGATGCTTAGCAGTGCCATCGTCATCGATTATCTCCAAGAGTATGCCAAAAGCCACGGCCCAAAGGTCGCTGTAGCTTTTGCATACTGCCGCTACACGGAGTCTGTCCCTGTTCAACAGATTCTAGCAGCTCTGGTTCGTCAGCTGCTCGAACGCTACCCGTTTCTCTACCCCTTGGTCAAGCCCCTTTACGACCAGCACAGCCGCGAAATGACGAAGCCCTCGAAGGACCAGCTATTGCAACTCCTGAGGGATATGTCGCAGGTCTTTGAAACCTTTTTCTGTGGACTTGATGGGCTGGACGAAGCGGCGCCAGACACGCAATTCAAACTCATTGATGCCTTATCGACAGTCAAAGCCAGGTTTTTTATCACTTCTAGACCTCTGGAGCCACTACACTCTGCTCTTCCCAACGCACATTTTTTCAATATTGTAGCCCGAGATCACGATATCAGGTTGATGGTCGCTCAGAAGCTCCGAGAGAGCCCCAGGGTCGTGTCTATGCTCAACGCGGGTGGAAAAGCGCGACAGGAGGAAGTGGTGTCAAAGATCACTTCCAACGCCAACGGAATGTAAGCATTGTAAAGGTGCTTTCACCCGCACCGATGCTCAACGATCCACTTCTGCCAGGTTTCTACATGCCACCATGCAAACTGAGACTGTTCTCAGTGCAGTCAGCATTCGCAGTGCTCTAGACGGTCTGGACAAGTTCCCGTTGAAGGTCAGCGACATGTACATTGAGACCCTCAAGCGTATCGACGCCCAACCTCAAGGAAGCTCCATCCTTGCCCGAAGGGCACTGTTATGGCTCCTACATGTGCAGCAACCAGTTCGGCTAGACGACCTGCGCTACGCTCTGGTTGTGAACACCGACTTCCCGATCTCAGTCACGTCGAAAGGCTTGTTGGATGAGTTGGCATTGGCCGACGCCGATACTTTGCTATCCATTTGTTGCGGCTTGATCATTGTGGAAAATACAGGCATGGTGCGACTCGTCCGTAAGTTTTTATCGACAATCCGATGTCTCCGTTTGCTGAACGCCGGCACCCAGATAAGACCGCATACGAATCACTACCTCTCATTCTAGGGGTAAATCAGGTGGAATGCCATGCAATGCTCGCTATTGCCTGCATGAGACGTCTCCTCTCTGTTCCATACCCTTGGCCTCACGATTTGCCTTTGGTGGTGTACGCCCAATCTAACTGGTGCGGGCACATTGCGTTATCTGAGGCTGTATTCACGAGCCCATCAGGACGACATCTATACGAGCTCATCGACTTCTTCCATTTATTCTCAAACCTCCCGGACACCACGTTACACACCGCAAGGATTGCACGTTATAACGGCGAGCGGATCATCAATACCACGGTTTCACCGCCCAGGTGCCACGACGTGACCTTAGCGGACCCATCATCTTCCTCAGCAACAGAAGGTACCACTCCCGCCTCCCCCGCCACCCCACCGCTGAGCATAACCTCAATATCGCCGCCCTCGCGCACATCCGTAGCGCGCAAGATACGCTGCCCATCCTACGTCCAGGGCCGAGACCGGCCTTTAAACGTCATGGCATTGCAAACCCCAGATTTCTTCTGCACCATTCTTGCAATGTCTAACGTTGCTGAATTAAACGACTTTATCCACGAGGTCATGATCAGAAGATTCGGTGGTTTGACACTGCTGCTGCTGCTGCTGCTGCCGCTGCCAGCTTCCAAGTCGTACGCAAAGTGCTTCAGGGCCATCCTCGATTTCAAAAAGCTCCGCGTCAACTTCACGGACGAAGACGGAATGACCGTTTTGCATCATGCGGTTCGCAACCATAATGCATCCCTTGTAAAGGCGCTGCTTCAACGGCCGGATATCGACGTTAACGCCATCTCCAAAGAGGGCCTGACACCCCTTTTAACTGCTGTAATTCCCTCGCGGAGCTCTGAGCTCCATGCAAGCTGCCTCCAGATCCTCCTTCACTCCAAGAACCTCCGCATCAACCTCCCAGACAAGAACGGGATGACTATTTTGCACCATGCGGTTCACACCCGCAATTCAGTGCTCGTAAGAGTGCTGCTTCAGCGGCCGGATATCGACGTTAATGCCATCTCTAACGAGGGTTTGACACTCCTTTCACTATCGAGATATTGGGGACCCAGTTCCGACGACTGCCCCATGAACAACCGCGCACCCCTCGAAGGCTTCACAGCTCCGATGCTTGCGGTTGCTAGGGGAAGCGTTAGTATCGTTGATGCCTTCATGACTGACCCATCCAGTCGTGCAGGTATCGATGCCTCCTCCGCCCTGATAACAGCAATTCGCAACTCCCACAGACACTTGGTCCTCTACCTGTTGCTCCACCACCCACACGCGATCCAGAAAAACGCTTGGATTTATTGTTTCTGGTGGAGTTTATGCGATGACCACCTTTTCCATACGGAAGTACTTCAATCCATTTCCACAGACTTTGTTGGCCTTCATTTGGTTAGCGTGGAGACGCTTACGATTTTGTGCTTGCCCGAGGTCCGGAACAGAATCGTTGACTATGTTGCTGCGGCCAGCGAAGGGAATACTCGTCCCATATCTCAAATGGACCCAAACCAAGACACCATCTCAGCGATTCTGCTACACCTTCCCGCGATTCCTGGCGTGGACAATCTAACTGACACACCTTTCATGGCGGCGTTACGGCGAGGTCAAGATAGTATCGCTGCCAGACTACTTTCCTTCCCTCATCTCAGAGCAGATTTAAAAGGCATCCTGGAAGGAGCTCTTGAAAGAAACAACTGGGAGCTATGCAAATTAATTCTGGCTTGTCCGGCGTTCGATGTATCGCCCAGTGGCCTACCATCTTCCCAAAAACTCCTCAACATCATTGCGGAGAAAGGCTCACTCCTTTTGATAACCTCGATGGAATGGACCCTTTCCATAATGGAGCAGGTGCTCTCTCTCCCAGGATTTGATATCAACGCTACAGATGCGGATGGATGGACACCTCTGATGTGGGCGGTGTGGAACGGACGGGTGAAAGTGGTCCAGCGTCTTTTACGCATCGAGGAAATTAATATCAGTATCGAAGACCCCCACGGTCAGAACGCATGGTGTCTGGCTATCAGGCGGGAGCTGCCTGATATTGCAAAACTCTTAGAGACCCATGATCCACCAGCCGAGAAAAGGTTCTTAACTTTAGGGAAGGGAAGTGTTTGAAATCCTGCCCGATTCAATGTGCACTCGGGAAGTTGAAGGTGTACGGACAGGAGGAAACAAGAGCTCACGTACAGTATTACCTTTCTGTAGTGCATGGAGCCTCCGAATCCGCGATCATGATTCTCGAGCCCCACTTGAAATTTTACTCTTCCACAAAGATTAGTTCTTGAGGCCATCGCTCTCACTGCTGTGCAATGTGCTCATTACGTAAAACATATACTTTGGGTGCTAGAGTGGTCTCTGTTCAAAGGGGGATGGAATTTAGCAGTTCCATGGTTCCATCGTGGCCAGCCTCGCGCGCTTCACTCGGTTCTTAACGCGAGCAATGACCGCTGACCTATACCTATGTACAGTGGGAGCTACTCAAAGAATACAGAACAAACTCATGCAAGGATCGTTTTCCCGGCTCTTGCTGAAGTAAGTGTTAGATCACAAGATCACAAGAAACCTGCAGTCGCACACACGCATAATTCCTGTGCCCCAAAGGTTCCGGTACATTCCCTCGAGCCATTGGAGGAATAACTCACTTCTCAAGAACCGCCCACTCTTACCAGGCGTCCATTCCTCGTGTATATCTTGTTGGAGTGCCTCGAAGCTGAGAGTCGCAGGACACAAAAGAATCTCCTTTAGTTGGGGTTCTAGTCAGAGACTCAGAGCTATCGGGCGAGGTCAGCCTAACTTGGGCCTATACTTGTACTGAGAGCCGGTCTTACCAGTGGGAGCCGCAGTTGTCTGGGTGATGTTGTAGTTACAGTTCACGATGCTATCGCGGCTCATCGTGTTGAGGATTCCACCAATGATATTGACTGCGTCGGTATTTGCCAGTTTCGCAGAGTTCAGGCTGACACCGTCGGCTACTATCAGGCCCAAACATCAGATGGATCGCCCAAATCTTTGTATGAGAAGAAGGGGCCTCCAGGTATTTCACTAGCATGGTGGGTACCATTGCCCTCACCCTGAAAACCATCGACTCGTTAGTTCTGCGACCTTTCTCAGGAAGAGCAATTACATGCAACCCATGATATGGTACTCCTCATCGAGCTGGTCTAGGTCAGAGCTGCAAAGCCCCTATGTCGGGTGTGATGAGAGGAAAAAGAAAAACGATAATAGGACAATCCATTAAGCGACGCCAGCAGGATTTGAACCTGCGCCCTCAAAGAGGAACAGATGTTGCACGGTCTGCTGACCATTCGAATCTGTCGCCGTAACCACTTGGCTATAGCGCCTTGAGAGATTTGGATACGCTTTTTAATAAGCCAATCAGGAACGCTTTTGACAGTTGAATCTGGCTGATGTTGACGATCTGTGCCAGTGGGGTCCTAGGACGAGCAAGGGCAAAAGGGTAAAAGGTAAACTTCAGTTAGAACTGGGTACGTATGTCATTGTTCCACCTAACAGGTGCTACCAGGGTTCGAACCTGGGTTTCGGGAAATCGTAGTTACACAGTCAAAATCCCGAGTGATAACCACTACACTATAGCACCGTGCACACCTGACTCCTGGTGGTATTATCGATCGGTAAGCCCCATTCTTGCCAGCCTTCATAGTATCCAACCTCCTCTGGACTTCTAATCATGCCAATGGCTATCCTACACTGTAAATGGTATCGAAAGACCGTATCTAATACACAGCAATAATTACACATTTAAATACTCGTTAAGTTCAATCATTCAAGTTCGTTTCGTTATCCGCTAAAGCACATCTCAAAATCTCCATCCCCATCGTTCCTCGCATACGACTGGCTCTCTACAAACGCTTCCAATCGGCACAGTCCTTGTGAGTCTCCGTCGCAGAATTCTAGTGGCTGTACTGCATCGTTTACCAACACCCTCACATACATCTCTCCCTCTCCCTTGGCTTCGCCTCTTGTTCGAAGAGATCCTGAAACCCGTGATAGTGTCGAACGTTGAGCACCGAATTCGCACTGCATCCTCTCTACTGTCATCCTCGAAGAAAACGGTACCAGCCGGCTAGCGATCCACGTCCTCGCTGAATCCGGTTTCTCCGGATCCAGGTGGCCTGTCTGCTTGAAAAGACCCATTGCAGCGAAGACAGCCACCATGAGGTTATCATGCGAAAAGTCGGCGTAGATCGTCCTATCCAATGGAAAAGTCCTTGGTGATTGGTCGAGTGTTCGATTCGTCTGGGTGTTGTCTTGCACAGGCTGGCCTGTGAGACGGGCGAGAAGCTCGTTGATGTATCCGACTCCTTGGACGGGACCTAATCTCTGGCCGTACCTGATCTGGCGTTAGCTATGATGTACCTTTCAGGGACGGGCAGCCATGCTCACCCTCGGTTATAATACTTCTCAAGATCCATCAGATATTCGTATTCCTGGAATTCTTCAGGAGAGAAGAGGGCACAGAAAGGGCTCAACCGTTCCTGAGCGAGAGTCTCAAAGGCGCAGAGGGGAATCACTGAAGCCGCATCGCCTGCAGATAAATTCGCTCCTGGAGCCACCTGGTTGAGGCGCTCCGCGATGGGGGCTGCGAAGATGTCGACCCATATTTCTGTCTGCTCATCGGGCGTTCCTGCCTCAGGGCACATTCCATCCTGAAGAGTATCGTTGAGCTATAGAGAGCGTAGTCCTATCAAAATGCCATTCCTATTTGATGTGATGAATGGCGTACCTGCTCTGACAGGATGACAGAAAGTCTCGGCTCAAAGACATTATCGCTCGCAGCAGTAAATCCTTCGAAAAAATTAGACAATATGAGACGCATCACAAAAGGGGAACGTACCAGCAGTCCAGTTGGTAGCTGAATCAATAACCCGATCTGAGCCAGAAGCCCTCACAAAGGGCAAGCCTCTGTGTTCCAAAGACACCAGGTTGTGGTATCGTTCGAAGGTCTCTGCACCAGCCTCTGCCGATCTCAAATCCAATGTCAGCCAGAAGCAACTCGCGGTCAAGGAAGAGGGGAGGCTTACTGAAAGGCACCGAACGGGACGAGGTCGGCAATCCCCAGAGTGTATTCGTAGTGTTCTAAGAACGAGAGGCGAGGATCGAGGTATTCACTCGCAGACTGAAGCTTGTTGACGGCGTTTCGGATTCTCTCATTAGCTCCCACTGTTGGGTATCGAGCTCCGTGTCGTTGAATCTTTGGTAGAAAGCGTCTGAGCGAGTACGCCTTCAAGGCTTTCCTGGTGACTTACAATGTTGACCTACACACCAAGATAAGATTATGGTCAACGACGATCCTCCCAAAAGAGATAAACGGGATCGGCATACCTGATTGATGGTGCAGCCCTCCGGGGGTGGCGAGTATTGCTCTGCGGGATGCCAGGGCGAGTAAGGTCCCCATAGATATTGAATCTCGGACGGTGTTTCCATCGCCTTGTGGTGCGATGCAGGTATTGAGAGACCCAAAATAGGTCCAGATCGAAGTCGCGCAAACGACGTGAGTGTAAAGACGAGAGCGAGCATAGCAAACACGATGAACGTGGGTGGCGTCCATCCGAGGGACTCCATGTACCTGTAAAGTAGCCAGATAAGACAACTTATCATAGTTAAAGATATCCTTTCCTACTCACCTCTCGAGGTGGTCATACCTCGAGAGTTCGGGATTTGGAACATTGTCTTGTCGCCAATCTTCCAACTCTCCGATCTCTGCATCCTTCTCCTGGACTCGAGGCAGCAGAGGCGTTACTTCATTCGTATAAAGAACGCTGTCGCGGTGGAACACGCTCATCGTTGCTCGCCCACTGCCAGCAATGGAGAGGCGGGTATATGGAAGAGGGAAGGAGGAGGAAAGAGAGCTGGGAAAAGGGTAAAACTCGTCTCAGAAGGTGAGGGTTCTCATTTAAGCATCGTTTGCCAACATATGCCTGTTATCATGTCCGAGGCCTCAGCCGTACCGCCTGCCTTGATTTGTTCACGTCCTGTGATAGAAACTAAAGCTTCACAGAAGAGTGAACGGCAGATTCCTTGTCCTGTGTCAGAAAGATGAGGCTTCTGAACAGCTTCTGAACCTAAAAGGCGTGTTCCGGAAGTTGGAGGAGAGGCGACTTGGGAGAGGTTGGCCGCAGTAGCGGAGAGCATGCTCAAGGCACGTTTGCAGTCTTGGAATGTTGACATCTGTTTGTGAAGACTGCAACGTGCTTCTAGCTCAATGTCGGAATCTCGACTGTTTTGAAGCTAAAAGCCACGAAGCGAACATCTCCAAGGAAGATTAAAATGGAATGTTGCTCAAACGTGCGTATGCAGGGTTGGCTTCAATACAGGACAGGAAGGCTTTTCGAGTAGGTGGAGATTAGAGGGAAATAATGGACGACCTTCCCAGTAATCTAATCTTAGCCTGGAAGAAGAGTCCCTTCACTCTCCTACAAACCTCGATTTGGCAAGGGAGGTGTTTGCCAGCCTGCTTTCTGGAGCAGAGAACTGTATACTGGTCACACGAGCTCTCTTATCAAGAGCCTGTTCAGTGGCACTTTCATTGGCTACTACTCTGGCGCCTGCCTTCTTCTAGCAGCACGCGCAATCAACCACCTACGAATTGCAGCGACCACGAACAGGTATGATTACCCCTGACGGTATGACAGCTCCGCAACTAATCAGAGCCCTTTTCCCTGTTAGGCGAACACCCTTCCAAAATAATCCATGACAGCAAACATGGATGGATGTCGGGCTTTGATTCTTCGGCAGCGTCACGATAGACATGAAAAAGATACTGGCATTGTTCAAAGTGGTAGAAGGTCCTGTTACTACACTATTCTAGGAAGGAACACTTCTTCGAAGTTGATATCACAAACACCATACCCTGCTATGGAATCTTGTGCTAACCTTCCCAGACGAACAAAAAAGAAGTCATGCATAAGAGATCGTAAAATCGTAAACCGTCCGTTCCGGTGTATCGTAAGAGAAGAGGTATATGTCTGAATGGGGAAGAGCGAAAATTGGAAAATGGCGTTAAACGCAAGGTCATAGGAGAAGGTCGAAGATTAGGCGTGGCGTAGTGTAGCGAAAGGCAAAGACCTGGACATAACAAGAAAGGAGGATCACGCGTCTATGTAAGATCAATGAAACAAGGCAAGCGAAGAAGGCCTGAAATGAAAAAAAAGGTGTGATACAGTGATAGCCTTCTCGCCTTCAAGAGGGGACGCCACCCCACACACCGACACTCTCCTCGGTTGGGAGTGACTCCACCGAAGTCCTCGATAGTTCGTGTGGTTGATACCAAGGCATGGGTGAAGGTAGCTGAAGCTCAGGCTCCCGGCTCTGAGGTTGTCGATCACGCTCCCTCTCCCAGGCACCCAGAACCTGCTGCTGGTAGAACGACATTGGCTGGGGTTCAGGCTGGATTGTACGAGGCAGGGTAGCAGACGGCGAATCCGCTACCACCGTCGACTCGTGTCGAAGAGCGTCCATGAGCGATGCAAAGGGCCGCTCGTTCCCGTCCGCATCCAGCGTCATCAACGGCCCTGAATCTTCGTCGATGAAGGGCTCTGGTGATATCGTCATCTGTCGATTGACAATTGGCGGGGCGACATTGACCATGAGGGCTGGTCGGTTCCAATATCGTGGTCCTTGGAAGTCGATCCTCACTTCTCGTGCTTCAGTGACAATCTGCGCGAACTCGATCTCGTTTTCAGAGTCGGAGTCGCTGTCGTCTGGCATCCATGTCGTTCGCCGGGGTGGGGATGCAGGTGCGAATCTGGGTGTGGACAGAGCAGAGGCAGCTTCGGAGGATGGCTGGGGAGCGGTGGGAGGTTCGTATGTTGGATCTAGCTGGCCTGAAACGGCATCAGCAAAGAAGGTGTACAGCTCCAGGTCAAGCTCCGGATCGAGTTCTGCAGGGAGACCTCGTCGACGCTGTGAAGGCGGTTTGCGACTTTCTGCCATCCGTGGGCAGAACCTCCACCTTGTGCCCAAAGGGTTTCCACACACCGCACAGCCAATCCCCTCCTTCACGCAACCACATGGACTCGTCTCGAATGTCTTGGCAACGTGACTGCTGAAGTACTCGGCTTCAAGCGGTACGACAATGTCGGACGCTCGAGATCTGGCGGTGTATGTTTTGGGGGTAGCTTGTAGTTGGGAACAGGATCCATGGAAATGAATCACAGATCCACAGCCATTGGTAGTGGGGGGAGGGGATGTGGCACGCGAGCTTGATGCCTGCTCTCCAGGCATCAGAGGAAGGATGGAGGGTTCGAAGGGTTCATGGTGTTTCGGTTCTGGTGGCGGATCCTCTAGCTTTGCTCCACACACGAGAATGTATGGTGTGCTGTCGTCATTCCCATCGGGCTCTGCAACGAGCTGCGAATACGAGGGATATTGATGTTGATGTGACGTGAAAGACCGGTGCCGGCGGTCTAGTATTTCGCCATATGCAAAACTGTATGGTCGGTAGTCGTCATCTGAGTCTGAATCTTCAATGAAGATACCGGAACGGCGAACTGGAGGGTGGACCTGCATTGAGTTGCGGTCTAGACGCATTGCACCTCGTCTGCGCAGCCGAGATGCCTCGCCCGTTCGAACGAGGTC